TTTTTTAATAAGTTTAACTACTTTTTAACATTTATTTATTTTTGAGAGAGAGCAAGCGAGTGGGGGAGGGGCAGAGAGAGAAGGGCAGAGGATCTGAAGCAGGCTCTGTGCTGACAGCAGAGAGCCCGATGTGGGGCCATGAGATCATGACCTGAGCCAAAATCAGATGCTTACCCGACTGAGCCAGCCACGTGCCCCGGTGAAGTTATTCTTGTACAGAAGTGCTTAGGTGGTTGGCTTCAGGTGTGGCTGGATCCAGGTGTTAGATAGTGGCATCAGGATCCATCTATCCCTGTCCCCTAAATCCTGCCCTCCGCGATGGCATCATTCTCATGCTCCACGGGTCAGCAGGGAGGCTGCTAGGATTCAGATCATGAGGAAAAGAGCCAAGGGTCTCTGTGCTGACAGTGCTGGAAAAGTCTCCTTATATCTCAGGGGCTCTGATAGGGCCACTTGCCCATCCAGGATCAATCGGTCAACGGGCCCAGACTGAGCCTTATGCTCAGAATGGGCACGATGTGAACTCCAAGAGGACTGAGAAGGGAGTGGCCCCCCAAAAGAAAGATTGGGGTAGCTGTGACCAGGACAGTGGGGAACAGGTCCTGGGGGTCAAAATAGTAGATGCCACTTGACCCTAAATTCTCGGAGATTTGCCTACCTGCCTGGGTCCTGCCCTTGTGCTTGGGGACTGAGGCCTTGATGGCAAAATACTCGTTTATTCACTCAATAAACATCAATTAAGAACCCGAGTACCCCACCATTCCTGCATACATGCATTCCTCAATTCACTCAATGCTTACTAAGCACCTGCTGTGTACCAGGCACAGTTCTAGGCACTGGGGACCCAGCAGTGAAAACAGTAGACAAAACCTCTGCCCCAAGGAACAGGAAAATAGGAAGAAGTAACACAAGCAAGTCGGTAAATACGCACGCTGCGTTCGAGGGTGATGAGTACGAAAGAGCAGGGAAGGGGTCGGAGGGTTGGGGGGGGGTGGCTGTGCGAGCTCGAGGAATCAGGGAGGGCCTCCCGGAGAAGGTGTTCTCTAAGCCCACACATACTGGGCAGAGGAAATCATCACTGCAGGAGCCCGGGGATGAGACTGTGCCTGGTGAGGCTTTGGTGAGCTGTGCTTCTAAACAGCGAGCCACTCGGTCCAAGTGTCGCTGTCTGTTTCATCCTGACCTTCTGGTGGGCCGAGCCCTACAGGGGTGATCCGCTCGCTGCACACCCTGGGCCGTCTGGACCACGCCTTCTGCACGGAGACCCGGCCCTACAACCAGGGAGCCCGGCTGACTGCCTTCGAGCTGGTCTACGAGCAGATCCCCGCCACGCTCATCGCCGACAGCACGGCAGCAGCCGCCATGGCCCACAGAGGGGTGTCAGGTCAGCGGGCGCGATGCCGGTGGGCAGGGCTTCCAGGCGTCCGGGGCCAGGTGAGGACCCCAGCATCTTGCTCCCCAGCCGTCATCGTAGGAGCCGACCGCGTGGTTGCCAACGGTGACACAGCCAACAAGGTGGGCACCTACCAGCTGGCCATCGCTGCCAAGCACCACGGCATCCCCTTCTACGTGGCTGCCCCCAGCTCCTCGTGTGACCTCCATCTGGAGACAGGCAGGGACATCGTCATCGAGGAGCGCCCAGGGCGGGAGCTGACCGACGTCAACGGGGTCAGGATTGCAGCCCCTGGTAAGCCGGCCCCTTAGAGGTGGGCACCACGGCACCTGGGCACGTCCCTTTAGGCACCTTGGCCCCTTCCTGGGGGCAGGTGGATTTAGGGCATCACGGGCCTTCTGGGGCATAAGCGGCTCCTTCGACCCATTTCTTGGAACAGAAGCATCTCGAAGGTCAGATTCAAGGTCAGAATGTACAACTAATGAGTTAGGAGACTTCAGGCAAGCTGTCCTGCTCTTCTCCATTTCGTTTTCCTCCCTTGAAGAAGAAATAAGAATACTGGCTAGCCCAGTGCCTGTGAAGAGACACTGATGCTCTCAGCTTCCCCACCCCACCTGGAGCAGGCTGCCTGAGTTCTCCCATCCCCAAGAGCCCCAGCGTTCACGTCTGTGAGATGCACTCTTACTATGACCCGCCTCACAAACCCCTGGGTGGTCAGCGAATCAGCCCAGGTGACATGAGGAACCGCGCCTGACCCTTACTTAGTGCTCATTGGATAGTAACAATTACATGGGGCATCTGGGTGGCTCAGTCGGTTAAGCATCGGACTTGAGCTCAGGTCATGATCTCACAGTTCGTGAATTCGAGCCCCGCATCGGGGCTGGCCAGCTCAGAACCCACTTCAGATCCTCTGTCTCCCTCTGTCTCTGCCCCTCCCCCCTGTGCACACACGTGCTCTCTCTCTCTCTCTCTCTCAAAAACAAACATTAAAAAAAGCAAGAACTGTGAGCCAGAGAAAATCGTCACGGGCCCCCAGTTTGCAGCCTCTTGTGTAAATGGTGGTTATTGACTCAGCAAATATTTTAGGGTACCTGACCGATGCTAGGTGCTGTGCTAAACGCAAGGGATACAGGTATGAAAAGGTCATAAAATCCCTGCTTTGTGGAGCTGACAATCCAAGATAAATAACAAAATCACAGTGTGTGTTAGAGGCGGGCAAGGGCTGAGGAGAAAAGGCAAGGAAAGGCACAGGAAGTGTTGGTGCAGGGAGATTTAGACAGAATGATTAGAGAAGGCGTCGCTGAGAAGGTGACATCTGAGCAGAGACCTGAAGGAAACGAAACAGTGAGTGAGTCGTGTGTATGTTGGAGGCAGAGGGGACTGCCCGTGCAAAGGCTCTCGGGTGGGTTCTCTGAGGTTCTTAATGTGATCCTTGGAGCAGGCGGAAGCGGGATAGATGGGTGTAAGACTTCTAAACCTTCTGAGACGATGCCAACAGGGTTGTTACTGAGTGCTAAAACCCACGCCCTCGTGCATTTGCAGAGTGACTATTCCCGGGTTCTCAAGGATTCTCGAAGTCCCAGAACCCCCATGGGGGAGACGGGACACAACAGCTTGAGAGCTGTCACAGAGCCAAATACTGCCTTCTTGCCTCCTCCTTCTCTCCTGCAGGGATTGGGGTTTGGAATCCTGCCTTCGATGTCACCCCCCACAACCTTATCACCGGCGGCATCATCACAGAACTGGGGGTCTTTGCTCCTGAGGAGCTCCGGGCAGCCCTAAGCACCACCGTCTCCTGAGGGCGGGTACCCCAGCTGGACCCCAGAAGTAACCGAGCTGACTCTCCATATCCTGCCCCCATTCCCTTAGGTTTTGTAATAAACTTACTCATTGAATGGCTTGCCCCAAAACTGACTTTCTTCCCCACAGCTACACTTCTTCCTAGAGCAGGGCCTTTGCACACAGGGCCTTTGCATGGCTTTAGGAGCCCTGTAACTGGAGCCAGCCTGCCCAAGTTCAAAACCCAGCTCAGCCACTTTCTCTGCTGTGTGACCTTGGTCGAGTCACTTCACCTCCTCGTGTCTTGGTGTTTTCATGTATAAAATGGTCTCAGGTTGCTTCAGGGCCGGAACTAGGATGGTACCTGGGGTGCAGAATTTTAAACGGCACCCCAAAAAGCTCAGTAATCAAGTACAGCTTCTTGCACAACTTGACCTTACCTCACCCCTGACACTGGCCCTCATTCCAGGAAAATCTTACTTGCGATCTCAGGCACCTGCTCTGCAGGCTGTGGTTTGACGATTTTACGTTTATGATACTAAAATTTTATGTTTAGGGGTGCCTGGGTGGCTCAGTTGGTGAAGAATCCTAGACCAGCTTTTATGTACAAAGAGCATAAAACTAAGTTCTACAAAACAGCGCTCAGGAAGCGTTAGCTGATCATCCTAACCTTTCTTTGGAAGGTTTTGCAAAGCCCTCCGTGTATCATCTACGTCTGTGGGCGTCTGTCTCTTTAATGCCTTGCCCCGTTGTGTCCCGTGAGTCTTTGCGCGCGCCCCGCCGGCCCCACTGTATCCCGTCGTGCTCTGCGTCTTCCGGCTGTATTTCCTCGCAGCCCCGCCTCTTCCGGTGCGTGCCGCATCATGGCGCAGGGGCAGCGCAAGTTCCAGGCGCGGAAGCCGGGGAAGAGCAAGGCGGCGGCGGCGGCCTCCGAGCGGAACCGAGGCCCGAGGAAGGGTGGTGAGGAGCTGTTGAGGGCTCTGGGGGGCGAGGGGGACCCAGGGCTCCCCGGCCTCACACGAGTGCGTCTCTTCCCAGGTCGTGTCATCGCCCCCAAGAAGGCACGCATCGTGCAGCAGCGAAAGCTCAAGAAGGTGAGTGGGGGTGTGCGAGGAGCCTGAAGGCGGTGATGGGCGGAGGATGGAGACTGGAGCCGGTGGGGGAGCCTGGAGGCTGGCGAAGGGCGGAGGGGGGAGCCTGGAGAACTCCGCTCTCGGAGCCTCAGTTCCGCCCTCCTGTGCCGTGGGTACCGGAACCTCCCACATCGTTCACCGGACCCCGTAGAAGCACGGCCTGACGTGCAGGAAGTGTTAAACGCACGCCAGTTGCTCTCGCTGTTACCGTTCGTTAGTGGAACTTGGGAGGGGAGGTGGCATGGGAAGTAGAAACCCCAGTTTCGAAGGAAGGCCGCGCGGGTGCGATCGCAGCCGTCAACGGCTATTTCTTCACCCGAAGTCTCTTAGCTGTCACATGGTCATAGTGATTGCACCTTTCTTTCTAGAGTCGTAAGGATTTAATGCCATAGGGCACTTGTAAACCGCTGAGAACAGCACAGGACACAAGTAAACGTTAGCTGCGTTGGTTGTCATTTTTGTGGTTGTGTTTAAATGCAACCTCTTTATGTAGGTGGCTAGGGTGGAGCTTATAAAGAAGTTTACAGAGATTTAAAACTAGTTTTACTGGAGTCAGATTTGAGTTCAAATTGTACTCCACTCGAACTAATGCGTGATCTTGAGCAGGTTGTTTCGTTTGCTCAGAGCATAGGTTTTCTGAGACCCCAGGGCCTGCTTACCTCCATGTGGCAGCGGGAGGCGGACTGTCACATGGGCGTCTCAGTCTCAGCACATCCAAAACCAAACTCCTGATGCTTCCCTCTCCCTCCCCGACATGACCCTGCCACCGTTTTTGATTCAGGAAGATTCTGTCCTTCCAGATACTTGAGATCATCGTTTCCCCCCTTCTCTCACATTTGGGTCTGATCCCGTCCTTTTTGCCCTCAGTATTAGTTTAGAATCCACCCATTTCCCACCTCCCTGACCCCCTTCCTGTTCCCACCCCATCAACCACCACCCGGACCAGGGCAGGTGCACCCTCCCTGATCTCCTACCCCCTACCACAGCGGCCAGAGGGCGCCAGTGAGCACCCAAGTCTGGCCGAGCCCCCCTGCTCCCAGCCGTCAGTGCCTCCCACGTGACCCCAAGAAAAGCTCAGATCCTCCCCGTGGCCCACAGGGCCCTGCGTGATCTGCCCTTGTCACCTCCCTGCCCTAATCTCCCACTCTCCCCCTTGCTCACTGGCCCCTTAACTACTCCTTATCCCACCTCAGCACTTTTGCACTCGCTGTTTCCTGTGGGATTCTTCTCCCAGAAATCCACACGGCTCCCTTCCTCTGAGTCTAGTCTGACTGCAGGCGTTACTTCCGAGGGGCTGTCCCTGGTAACAGCCCCCACCCCTCGCTTGTTATCCCTTGTTTGTTTCTTCCACAGCAGCACTTACCATCACTTTCACCTAGTGGGTTATGGGAATTTATGTTGTCTGCATATACATGCTGAGTGTCAGCTCCCTGAGAGCAGAGACTTTTCTGTGTCTTGTTTGCTGTTCTGTTCCCTGCATCTAGGTATGTGACAGTCGCGGTGGTGTTGGTCATTGGAACTCATAGGCAGGATGGGGCAGTTTGGGAAATACGATTAAACTACCAGTTTTGGACCCAAACCCATGTGCCTTTGCTCTCTGACATTTCTGTCTCAGAGCCCCAGGCCACCATCTGCCAAGTGGAGATAACACGTGACAAGAGGGGACTGATGCCTGGAAACCGAGACCAAAGGCTCTGGGCATGCTGGGTTCCAGTCCCCCTTCACTCACCTGTCTTGGGAACCCTGGGCAGGTGCCTCCACATTGCTGGAACGTGTTTCCCCATCTGTAAAATGGGGATGCGTAGAGGTTTGGAAGCTGAGGTTCAGGGAAGAGAACAGGACTTGTTGCATTTAAACCCCAGACCCCAGGTACCGTTTGTGGGAAGTTGCTCATGCAGTCTCCTGTGAGCTCTTGGCAGAAAGAGGGTGACGGGTCAGCCCCCCACCCCACCCCCACCTCAGGACCCAGTTTCACCGCCCTGTGGTTGCCCCCTCAGGACCTGGAGGTCGGGATCCGGAAGAAGATCGAACATGACGTGGTCATGAAAGCCGGCGCCAGCCTACCCAAGAAGCTGGCGCTGCTGAAGGCCCCCGCCAAGAAGAAGGAGGCAGCCTCTTCCTCCTCCACCAAGACGCCTTCCTAAGGACACCAGCCCAGTGGAGGCCATCGGCGCAGCCTCCGTGCTCAGATCCATGCCGGTGACCCCGCAGGTGGCACCACAGGGAGGAGCCGAGCTCTCCAGAGCCTTGGGTTCACGCACCTCGAGTTTCCTTGGGGAAAGAGTAGGCGAGCCGCGGACCTGAAACGCACCGGTCAGACTCCCAGGGCCCGAAGAACCCCGGAAGCTGGTTTCTTGTGTCCTTGTCCCCCTCCTCCGGTCTTCCCTCCACTGGTCCAACCCAGAGCAATAAACCTGCCCGCCGTTCCTCCCACATGCCATTCACGTGCTCCTGTGAGCGGGCTGTTTCTGGAGCTGGCGCCTCGGTGCCCCGGCCCAGGCCGGTCCCGGCGGCTTCCACCGGAGACCGGCCGTGTGCCCGGGGAGGGACGGAGAGGCTTCTGCACTTTCAGCCCAGGAGCCGAAGAAGAGGCTTTTCGTCCCTCACCCCCTGGGCCGTTCCCACCAGCTTCCTCACTTACCTGACACCCCCTGCGGGCATGCCCAGGTCACTGCCTCTGCCAGAGGCCAGCCAGGCGTCCCGGGGAGCTCCTTTCCCACCCGTGTGACAGGCTGACGCCACCTGGTAGGGTCTCCGTGCTGGGTAAGCCCGGACGCGCTCGTCAGCTGCTCGAGGCCACCTCGATGTTTAGTCCTGACGGCTCGTACGTGTGCGGCGCTGCGAGTGGCCCAGGCGCCGTGCCCAGTGCTTTCCGTGCCAGCCCAACCCCCGTGATGCCCAGGCTAGGTGGTGTAAACGCTACCAAGCAGGGATTTGCACAGCCGCTGACGGGGTCCCCGATCCCCGCTGCCCGTCCGCTGCCTCTCCTGCTCCCTCCCCTGCTCCCTCCTGGGTCCCTCCTCCTACGGTCATTGTTCGCGGTCCTGCTGGACCACACGGTGCCTGCGAATCAGCCAAGAGCTTGTCGGCCTTCTTCCCGCACCCCCAGCACCCCTGCCATGCCCCAGGGGTGTGGGGAGCAGGTCACAGCTGACGGACTCGGCTGCGGTCTGGGTGACACTGAACTGCTGTCCAGGGGAGGTGGTGGCACCTGTGGGTGTGGTCGGCCGCACGTGTGGGTGACCGAACCCCCGGTGGCCTGTCCTTTCCCGGCCAGCCTGACCCACCGCTGGCAGCTTTTCTCGATCCCGTGGAGTGGTGGTCAAAATTTTTTGAACGCCTAAAATTTTTCTGCACAGTAGGGGACGACCGCCGTGGAGAACGGTGTGGTGGCCCCTCGCTCAGTAAGTTCAGCGTAGAATTACCCACGACCTGGCCGTTCCGCTCCCGGGCGCGCGCCCAAAAGGATTGAGGACGGGGGCCTGACCAGCGGCTCGGATGTGAGCGTTCACAGCGCTGCCA